TCTTGGACATAGAGTGCCAAAGACAAAGCAAATGCGTTTGCTGGTCATTTAGCTAACATAAGTATTTATTTCACATGGCAATCAAAATACGTTAGAGTCAGGAAACAAGTTTCATTGACCGAGGCATAGCTTTTCCAATTATCAGTGGAAGGGAGGTTGTTGCAGAGATCAAGTCCCTTCTATCTAAAAAAAAAAGCATCAGGATTTGAACTGATCACATCTTATGCACTAAAGCAACTATTCAAAAATGGAATAATACTTACGCGTCTCATGAATGCCTGTATAAAGTTCTAATACGTGCCTGGCATTTGGAAAGTTGCAAAAATAATTATGCTACACAAGCCTAGCAAACCATTAAACGAAGCAGCTTCTTACAGATCGTTGTTGACGATAATTTCAAAATTGTTCGAAAAATTATTGCTAAAAAGACTTCAACCAATAATGAAAGTAAAGATTTAATTCCGAATCATCAGCTCGGCTTTCGAAGAAAGTACTCGACGATAGATCAATTTCATCAAACTTCTGACATTATATAGAATTTTCTCGAAGAAAAACAGATATACATATATTTTTGGGCGTAGCCCAAGCTTTTCATAAGGTTTGGCACCATGAGTTAATTAATAAACTCAAACAATTACTACCGAAGCAGTATGTTCAACTACTTGAGTCCTACCGTACTGATAGGGTATTTCGAATTAAACAAAAGAAAGAGTATTATTCGCTTAGAGATATTGGGTCCGGTGTACCACAGTTAAGCATATTGGGACCAATATTATACTTATTGTATACTTATGATATTCTACAAAAGAAGTTTGTGACAATGAGTCAACTAATAAATTACAGAGATCCAGTAATGAAATCACGAGATGAACTATAAATGGAACTTAAAACTTAACGAGGTGAAATCGATCCATGTAGACTTCACCAATAAGAAAATTGATAATTCTCTTTCAGTCTCAATCAATGGGTTCATAATCCCATATGCAAATTCAGAGAAATACCTGGGTATGACTTAAGATACCAAGCTCAAATCGAAGGAACATTAAAAGAAGAAAAAATCTCATCTAGAAGAAAAATATAAAGAATTCAAATGGCTTCTGGGGGTTATAGAGAATTCGTTGATGAAGGGGTTCGTCATTCTCAATATATAAGATTTTTACATATAAATATAATCAAATATTTAAGTCAGTCTGGATTTACGGTATTCAGATATGGGACTGTACTGCGCAGACTCACATTCAATGTATTCAAACACTTCAAAATAAGGTATTACGAGGCATCGTCAACACTTCCTGGTATGTCCGCAACGAAGCTAGTCCCTAGTGTCAACGAAATTAAAAGGCAAGCAGCCAGTCATAAAATTCATTTATCCCAACATGTCAATGTCGAGACGAGCCGTCTGGTTGACAATCAAACTTTGTTATGAGAGACTTAAACGTACGAGTTAGCTTAATGTTTTTTATCTGGAACAAGTACCTAGTATGGCAGATTAAAAACGAATGCAATTTTAAAAAAGTCAGACCATTTGATCAGTTTTATTGATTAAATGTGGTGGGTGTTTTTAGTGGGTTAGAGTCTCACAGTTCTGCTCTTTCGTCAGCAGTGTCTTTGGAGATTTTCATCCTCCACACGACAAAAGCAAAAAAAATGCTGAGATTTGATTAGAAATAAAAGAAACGTAATTTTATGACAGGATTAATAAATTTGTATTTGTGTTTCAAAATTAATATCACTTGAATTTAGATTAGAGTAGGGATAGAGAATAGGATAGGGATAACCCTTATTTTGATTAATAAAGAAGGAGAACAAAACAAAGAATTTTCAAAGTTGCACAAAAAACAAAACATAAGACAAAAGATATACATAATATTAATTGAAATCTGCATTCCAATTTCACCTTGTTTATTATACCAAATTGACATACATATGTACATAGTAAAAAAAACCTAGACAGAACAAGTAACTTACAGATAAATTCATCGGTTTTTACATTATCTAGAACTAAAGAACTTTTAATTAATTATAGACATTTAAAAAAACTTGCACCCCTGATTTTTATTTTAATTATCTAATTGATCATATATGGACGCACGTTGTTTAATTAGTAATTTCATTTTTGAAGGAGTACTTTTTATACATACGTTTATGTTAAAATTAGTGAATCGTTCAGAATTTATTTGTAAAATTAATGATATACTAATTCTGAATAATTTCAAAATAAACCTTGTTCATATTTAAGAAAGATCTTTTTCAAAAACAAAAAAGATCTTTCTTAATTTGTCTGCTATCTGAATTCCCTGAAAAGTGGCTTCTTTATTACTATCAATTAAATTAATTGATTGAGATCATTCATATAATTATTATGAATTATATTAATGATCTCCCTTATTGTATTCAGTCAGTAATGAAGTATAATTAACAGAATTACAATATTTAAATTGAAAAACGACATAAGAAAGAAAAATTTGAAAAAAAATAGTAAACAAAAATAAAATATTCAAAAAGATGGAATACAAGAAAATATATTAATTTTATTTAGTGACTGTTGGTATCTTCGGAATTGCATTTACGACGCACCAGATATATTGTAATTTTTTCTAAAATATTTGACGATGTGTTATATTCAGAATTTATTTGACGTTCTGTCTGCGACGTTGTTACCACTGAAATATTTGTCAAATTGTATATCCAAAGTTTTCGATGTATTTGCTTTTCATATACATACATATAAAGTATTAAATTTTTAATTGAAATAAATTAAAAAAAATTTCTTATTAAATAAGCTAAGCGATGAAAATAATACAAGACAGCAAGATTTTTAAGTTTTCAAATGTAAAATAATACAATATGTTTAAAAAACAAGAACACATTGTATCAAAAATTAAATTGAAATTTAATTTTCTTTCCAATTTTGACAAAATCGTATGAAATGATTCCGAACAAATATTTTACTGAGAATTTTTTGAAAGTTGTAAAATCATGAAAGATTTGATGTCATTCCTCGAAATCGTAAAATATTATAGCCATCTCATTCCAGAATACACGAAACTAGGGAGGTAGACGTGAATCTTAAAAAAATGTTTTAAACTACTTCAAATTGTATTACAAAAAATAATGAAAGAATTGACTCAAAAATATGGGACAAATTTCAAAAAGAAATTTGTATGTATGTATATTTGTACATCACGGTTGACAGAAATACAGGCCTGAACCCTAAGAGTGAGTGACAGTTCACAGCTGACGAATTTACACGTATTCTTATTGGATCTATGGAGGGCCCTTTTTAACACAATAAATCTCCCACAAGATCAACTTTGTTCAAATTTTTAATTAGAGTTAAAATTTTAAGTCAAAATTCAATCTTTTTCTACTTTACTAATGATTACATTCTTAAAGTTTTGTGTTATTAAAACATTAAAAAATTAATTAAAAAAAATAATTCCAGATTTTTTTCTTCAAATTATTTAGCTGATTTTGGTGTTTTTTTTCAAATTTGAGAAAATGTACATTTGAAATTAAAGGGTTTGCTAATTTTGTATGATATGTTTCCAAAAATGCATACTTCTTATAGTATCATATACGTCCTTACATTTCTATAATTTTCATGTGTATACTATATTAAGTTTACATGCTTCATAATTCATAAAAATTATTGCATATATGAATTCGTTTTATATTCAAAGTCCATATAGTAATTCTTTTTTGGTATATACATACATACATATGTATGTACATATATGATTTTAGTTTTATTAGGAAATATTTTCACATTGGTAGTAGGCTAATTCACTAATTTATCTAAACTACCGCATCAGTAACTTTAAAACTTATACAAATTTCTTTATATTTTTATTATGTTTGTTTTTTATGTGAAATATAATTAGTAGTTAATCCTTGTAGCTTCGAGAAAAAATTACCGAATCCCGAAAACAAAAAAAAAAAGGGAAATGCATATCTCTAACAATGTAAAGTTTATAGTAAAATATTAATTTAAAAGTAAACCCACATTCATTTAAGAGAATTCAACAAACAAATAGAAAAGTTAAATGAAAGAAAAAAGTAAATCCAAAGTTTGCAACCTTCCATAAAATAAAAAAAATTAAAAGCAAGTTTTCTAAATACATTGAATCTGGCCATAGATTTAGTACTATTTGATCGAGTCTAAATCTAATTAACCAACGAATAACATAAGGGATACTAACTCTTATTAGTAATAGCACATAAACGATTGGATTAGCAAAACTTTCAGTTATACGTGTACCAGCACTATTTACAGTATCCTTAACAGGTATGGTAACTTATACATATACTTGAATTCATATAAAGTAACTTGTGATATTTTAATATTTAAGGTGAGCCTTTTCACGGTTTCCCATCGTTATATTAGATTCAGGACTCAATTAATTTCATCAACGGCGTTAGTTATGCAATTCATGCACACATCCTAAGGGTCCAATTTGACACAGAACCCAATTCTTTTACATAGAATATAACAAATAATGAAACCCTAAAGCAGAAACAAAAGGAATACTACACCATTAGACAGAGACCCAAAATCAACAACTTAAAAATTTGGAGTCAAAAAGCCCAAATAAGTTTCGCGGAAAAGTTATTGAGATTAAAGGCAAAAGATAAAACTTATTTTAGAAAAAATAGCACTTTTAGCATCTTTGAGGATGTTGTTATATGTTAACCAATAAGAAAAGAACTTAGCTACATTTATAGATAAAATTGAAATACTAGAATACAAAACAATTCCATATTTTAGTATTATAAAATTAGTTATATAAATATAAAAATAGAAAAGTTATTCCAAAAAATATGGACGATCCGCAATTGTAGTATGATTTGATGACAGCCACTTTTGTAGAAATATTGAGTTTTAATAAAACAAAAACTTATGAATGAACAAATTTTTCTTAAGCAATTTTGAACCGGGATAATGCAAATTACCCAACAATTCCATACTTTAAAAACAATATCAAAAATGTTTTTCATACCTTTTTTACATATTTCACACTCAAATATTTTACGATTCTCATGCCATTTTAAATGCTGAATCAATTCTTCTTTATTTTTATGTTCTTTTACACATATAATGCACTTAAAGTCAGTAAGACCTTGATGCTCCAAAATATGCCTTATGAAAGATGAAATTGAAAGAAAACTTTTTGAACACGAGTGACAATTATAGCTTTTCTGTAAGGGTTTTGCTGTTTGAAATCCTTCCTTATGAACTCTCATATGTGATGCTAATGATTCCTTTTTCAAAAATTTTCTTGGGCAATTCGGACATTTATTAATTCGAAGTTCACTATCTTTCTCTGAAGTCTTTTGACAAATTTCGTTATGCTTTATTTGATGAGTTAGAAGAGCTTTTTTACTAACAAAGCGATATTTACCTAAAATGGAGGTTCTAATTAAAAATATTGTTTCAAAAAATTGATTTACGAACATATTTGGCATTCGAATGGTTTATTTTCAGAGTTGTGCACACTTAAGTGTCTTGTAAGACGGTTGCTCCTGTCAAATTTTTTTTTACAATATGTGCAAATATATTCCGACTTTCGCTTGTTTTTAGGATCAGGGCTAAAACCAGAAGAAATTATGTCAAATTCCCGAAAAATTTATATTACCAACAGTTCAATACTATCATCAGACACTTCACGGCCCATGTTTTCATCTTGTTTCTCATCAAGTGTAATAGTTTTAACACCTTTTTCATCTTCATAAAAATCTTTTTTAGTGCTGAGTATGTTAGATCCAGAAAGACATTGGCCTACATGCTTATTTACACCAGTTTCTGATGCAAAGTATTTATTGCAAGACAAACATTTGAAATAATCGCCGCATTTCTCAATATAACTTTGTCAAATATTTTATTTAGTAAGTTATTAATAATATATAATAAACTTATTTAATATCATACCCAGATGACGATTCCTTTTTCCAAATTTCTTCCACATTTACCTTAAATTTATCAATATCGTCGTCTTCCTTGATTTTTATACAAAAATTCAATTGCGAATCACTTCTCAATATTTCATCGGCTTCAATACATTTTGTAATAAATTTGAAACAGCTTATCAACTCATCACAACATGGTACACAAATTTTCCCATAAAACAAAGTTTTTCTTAGATCGATGTTTGTAACCTTGTAAAAAATTTCTGATAATGAGATGTCATTTTCTTCACTATGAGAGTTTAAATTTTTTAAATTTATTGTCTCTTGGAAATTCATGCAAATACGACAAATTAATTTGTGGCTCATCTTTCGCTATGTACTGCTAGTTTAAGAACATAATGTATAAAAATAATATGAAATTCTACTAACAGGGATGGAAAAACATAACTTTAACTTGTTTCAAATGTGTTTGTTGGTAAAAGCACATATTGATACTATTTCGAACTCCCGGTAACAGTCACCAAAAAATAATACGTGTACATTAATTTTGATATATAAGTTGATTAAGTTTAAAAAGTTGAGGTGGAAATTTACTTCTTTAAAAGGTAACCTTGCGTTAAAGTTGCCTTTAATTATTTAAAGAACGCAACACAAACTCATAGGAATAATAAGAAAATAAAAATAAAAAAATTAATACGTCTGCATAATCTAAAAGGTTTTATGGCGAATTCATTGCTTCGTCTTAAGGGTGCGTTGCGTTCTACTCATTGAGTTAGAAATACTAAAGAAAGGAGAATTTTTGTTTCTATCTCGTTTACACTCCCTAAAAAATCGTACCTTGAAAAAAAAACATAGTGAAGTCAAAAACTTCAGGTAAGTCTCCTTTTTTGCTCCGAGCATTGTCAAACTGAAACTAGCATTAATTAATACAAAATGTTTTTTTTTCTTAGAAAATTACACACCGTTATATAAAAAGTAAACAAATAAAATATTCTTATTTTATTTATAAAATTAGTGCAGTTTCTAAATGAAAAATTAATATTATCGAAAATATTTAATAATAAGTGTTAAAAAAAATATTATTTTATAAAAACTTATAAAAAAATTATAACAAGTGTAAAAATTTTTTTGAAAAAGAATATTTATAGTATAGTTTTAAATTGTTATTCCAATTTGCGAAAACAAATAGTTTTTTACACCATTAACATGTCAATATTATTCACTTCAATAATTAAAAGAAATATTTATTCAATAGTGCTTTAATTAATTCATAATTTGTAATTTTATTAAGTTTTCAAAGAAAACATTGGCTTTTGTTTTGTTTTAAATTTAATATTCGATAAGGACGGGATTTTTTTAAGGAAAATGAGTTTGGGTTTGATAAAATATAGCATACAAACAAATATTTTAAATCGTTTTTTATCTTAATGAAAATTTCTTCATGCAACTGCAGAACAGATGGATGACGTAATCAAAGGAACGAGTTAAAGGCAGAAAAATTCATTAAAAAATTTTTCTCCTCGAACTAGACTCGAACCAGTGACCTACCGCTTTCTAGGCGGACGCTCTACCAACTGAGCTACAGAGACATTTTAAATCCTTTTTTTTATACAAAACAAAAAAAAGCTCAATTGAATTTTTTTTTTATTTTGTATAATCACGTATTCCTAAAAATGATGAAATGAAATATATTTCCTTTTATAGAGTGAAGATTTGGTCACCAAAAAAATATTTGAGGACGTTCCGATGGCATTGAATTCAGGAAGTAAAATAAGATGTTAGCGTGAATTAATTAAATGAACTTATTAAATATATTGTTTCAGAATGAATTGGATGTGAAGCTCAAGAATACGGCAGAATACATCATATTAATTAAAATTTGTTAAAAATTATATTGTTTTAGGGTCATTAAAATTTATGTGTTTATATTTATTGTTATTAATATTGTTTAGAGTTGTTCAGTAAAATTGTCAAAAAAAAACTGATAATATAAGAAATTTTTTAAAAAAATATGTTTATTTTCGAGGGTCATAAAATATTGTGATATTAAAATACTTATAAATATTTGCAATTAATAAAATAAATTTATTCAAATACAAAAAACCATAATGAGTTTAGTATAAATTTGTTTTTTTTTTCAACAGATATTTAAAATGAAAAAATAGTTTGAAATAATTTTTCTTTTTTTCTTCAAACAAAATTTTTTAACTTATCCTTTTTGAAAATTATACATATTTTATAGTAGAGGCCAGACAAGAAAATAAAATAAACACGTTCCTGACTTTGACAATGTTCGGAGCAAAGAAAGAGACAATTGGAAAAAATATAGCTTCATTGGCTATGACTTCAATAATGCTTTATAAAAAATTTGAGGTTTTTGATACATTTTGAAGTACAATTTTTACAAATGTTAATTTCTAACAACGTTACCACATTATTATGAACATAGCATTTTATGCTGCATTTAAGGAAAAAAATTTAATAATTGAAGACGTGGGGGCAAAAACCAGATAACTAACAATTTTTAAATTTTTCAGGAGAGACAAAAAACTATTTTAAAAAGTAACCCATAATATTTATTGGAAAATGTGTCAATATATTTTGAAATGCTAATAAAACTCAATATTTTTTATAACGAAAAGATAAATAAATCGTTTATTCAAACATAAAAAAACAAAAACAAAAAAATCCATTGTCTGGTTCTTGCACAAAAATTGAAAATTTGAGGTGACATACTAATAAAATGTTAATCAAATTCATTTTTAATCGCCAAATTCACTAGATGTGGATTGAGCAGAAGATTTTAAATTTAAATAAAATTCCATATCATCCCGGGGAACATATTTTTCTGCTAATTGCATCACATCTGTGTACTTCTTTGAGTTGATTGGCAAGGTTTCTTCACGTAATAGTAGCGGTGAAAATGGGTTTCCATTAATGTTAACTAGTTTTGCTAGCTGGAAGTAAATAGCATCTGCACCAGAATGGCTAATAGAAGCTGTAACACCACGAGATTCCTTTTTGGAATAAGCAAAAACTCTATATTTAGAAATAGTCCATTTTTCTTTTTTATCTGCTCTATACACTTTATTGTAATACATATCCAAAGTCGATTTAAAATCGTACAAATCGTTTATCTTCACATTGATTACTTTAAATTTTGTGGAACACTTTGCCACCATAGTTTGCCAATGCGAAGGTAAATACAGTCTTTCAACTTTCCGCTTTTGTTTTTCTATCACTCCGAAAGATCGATCGCAAGGCATATAGCTATGACCCGGTTCTGGCAAATGGTGAACTACACGATCTAGTTGACCAAATCTTACGAGTGAGTTCAAATATTGAACCATAACATTGTTTTTATTTTGTGCGCTGCAGTTATCCGAAAAAATGTAAAGTTCTTTTATGTTTTTTCCTAGAATATTATTTACAAAATGATGCAGACAGCTTATTACTTCATTTTGACCTTTTCTGCCAATGGTCTCGTCGTACATATACATATGACTAGTAGAGTTGGTGCATTGGTAAATACAAAAATTAAATACCCATAGTTGCCGTAAAGGCATATTTTGTTGAAAATCAAAATGGAAATCAAATCAAATGTTGTGCCTTATCTTTAAGATCAGTGTAGAATGCTTTGGCTTTCTTCTCATGCAAGTCTAGTTCCAATTTAAAATTTTTTTTCTCATCCTCTATTTTACAGCCTTCAATATTTTTAGCCAATTAGTCACATTTTGAACAAGTATCTGATTTTGGTGTAGCAAAAGAAAGTTTGAAATTCTTTAAGAAAAAACTTCTATAAAAGTGATATGACACTAAAGGTTTTATAGTCTTATCTGTCAATAGTTTGTTGAAAACAGATCCTTCAAATTTTTCCAAGTAAAGTTCATACATCTTTTTCATATTTAATTCTGAACTTAAATATTTGCAATCAGAATGACTGTAATGCGCAGATCGGCAAGGGAAACTTTGTATATGCTTTCGAATTTGTTCGATAATATTTTCAGGAATTTTGTTAGGTCTATGAGCATGACGACCTCGCATATCAACTGGAAATGTTACATTTTTGCCAATAAAAGATGCTAAACGTTCAGTTCGACTCTTATTTATACCATGTACAGCACAAAATGTTTTTTTACATGCCTGAACGATGGTTAATGATGTTGTTCTAACATAATATTTATTCGACTGTTTCCTAACAGGTCCAGTTTTTAAACAACTTCGTTTTATTTCTTCAGCTTTCATTAACCCGCAAAGATAAGCGTCTTGTTTTTCTTTATCACCTATTTTATTAAATTCTTGGAAAATTAATTTTCTATCACTCTCATTTAACGTAGTACAGCATTTTAAACGACATTTTGCTTCTTCACAAAAATTTCCCATCATACGTTTAGAAACAGTATTCCCTTTGTAGTTAACATATGCCTTGCCTTCTGCTTTCTTTCTCTTTCTAATATTTCTTTGCCATTGCTTCTCATTACGTATTTTTCTTTTGCCTTATAAATATTATTAAATCTAGTATTAGTATCATTAAGTCTAGTATTCAACACTGTTTCAAATAGTTCAATAAAATAAATACTTTACCTTTCTGCACCTGTAAATTAGATAATATATCACTTTCCTCTGATGATTTAGAGGGCTCATATTCAGATTCTGAAACACTAAAATCGTCAAGTTCACTCATAATCTATGTTCATACATTAAAAACTTAACACAAAAACAACATTAGATGTTATTACATCGAAAAACCACCTGCAACTGATCATTTACTACAAAAACATTATTAAGAATATGATTCAAAACAGACAACGCAAAAACATGTAGTGACATGTCTTTAGTGTATAAATAAGACAATTGCACATTTTATCTGATTTTTGCAGTAAAAGTATTAGGCAGACAACTACAAAATTGATAGAAAACATGTAAGAATTCACATTTTATGTCTGGTTTTAGCTTAAAACGATGGGTTATTTTATTTTTATTCTAAATAATCGAAAAAAGCAATTGCGCTAAATTCGTAGTTATCTGGTTTTTGCCCCCACGTCTTCAATTAGCATGTTCTTGCTGAAAATATATGCTAGTTTATTTAGTTTATTGTTTCTGGCAACATATATATGACAAGGTATAGGAAAAGCGTGCTCGATTTTTTCGATGCCCAATTTACTTTTATTTTACTTCTCCACTACGTATAAAACTCATTTAGGAAAAGTGTACAATGTCAGGAGCTTTTACTAAACTTTTTGGAATTTGATACTTTGTAAAATTTACGTCGTAAGCGCATTATTGAAGTCACGGTTTGTATGACATATATCAGAAAAGCGTGCTCGATTTTTTCGATACCCAATTTAATTTTATTTGACGTATATACTACGTATAGAAGGCATTTAGAAAAAGTGTACAATGTCAAGCGCTTTTATTAAACTTTTTGGAGTGTGATACCTTGTAAAGTTTACGTTGTAAGCGCATTATTGGAGTCACAGTATTTTTCTTCCCTTAGTATTTCTAATTCGTTATTTTTTTTAATCAATCAAAGTTTTTCATTTTACGAACCCACACATATGTATGTATGTAAAACTGAAATGGCTGAACTTGTTCATCCACTTCTTATAGTTAAAAAAGTTAATCTTTCGACTTAAGACAAAATATATCAAAATTTGACATACAAAAATATCTTCAAAGTTAGGTTGTTTTAATGCTACTGAAATTTTTTAGAATTAGAGTTTTCACTTTTTTGCATATTTTCCAAACTTCACA